ACCATGAATCCAATGTCGATTGTCAGGGAAAACCCATCCGGTTCACTAATGTCCTTTAGTGAAGGAAACTGCCATCCTTACCTGGTCTGGCCTACATGTGACTCCAGACCCACAGCAATGTGGTTGACTCTCAACTGCCCTCTGGGCAATTAGGGATGGGTAATAAATGCTGTCTAGCCAGTGACACCCTCATCCCATGAATGAATAAAGAAAAAAAAAATCTGTTACATTTGCTGCACCCAATGTGGCCTATTCTACATTGGAGAAACCAGATGCAGATTGGGCGACTGCTTTGCAGAATACTTCCGGCCCATGCGCAAGCATGACCCCGACCTTCCTGTAGCCGGTCATTTTAACACAGTGTCCTGCTCGCATGCCCACTTATCTGTCCTCGGCATGCTGCAGTGCTCCAGCGAAACACAGCGCAAACTGGAGGAACAACATCTCATCTTCAGACTAGGCACTTTACAACCTTCTGGACTTAATATTGCTTTCAGCATCTTTAGCACCACTCCCATCCTTCCATTCCTTTTAGCTTTACTTGTTGCATTCTTGTCACTATGTCCTCTTTCCCCTCCCCTCACTGCAACGGGACCGTCTGTTCTTTCCGGTCTGGCAGTTAGACGCACCGTTGTTCTGCCAGTCTCACATTCGATCACTTAATATGCACTATCAGCAGCCTCTCTCCTCCAGCACTCCACCCCCCCCACCCGCCACTAGTACCTCTATGTATTAGATACCCCAGATATGAGTAAATGACCTATCAAGGTCCAGTGATCATCCAAATTAATTGGAAATTCTTAACAATATGGACATCAGCCAAGTTTTATCCTCCACTCTCAGTCATTGCTATAAATATGTGATGTGCCTTAAGAATTACCAGTATCAGCGTTGAAGACTAGGTCTAAGTCTATACATTATTTTAATTATGTTTCTCAGATAGTTAAATGTGGGTCGTTGTCTAATTAAGTACTAGTGTCCCTACCTCAAGCTTTTATGCAGTGGTAGTGTACCTGCCAGAGGTTGGGGTTCACATCCCCATCTTGTCCAGTGGTGTGTCATAACATCTCTGATCAGGTTGATTAGAAAATATCTTGGAGCCTTCTTTAGATACACGGTGTGAGTTATTCACTGCACATATACTAGCCTTTGACCTGCTCTTGTAACCTCAGTAGTTATAAAGTTGGTAACAGCATGAATATTGATAGTGGGGAAGTTGCAAAATTGTGGGATATCAAGGAGCGACGGCTAGATTCTCCCATGTTTGGAATGGTCATTACCTGACTCTCGTGTGGATGGTTTGTTACTTGCCACCTGTTGGCCGAAGCCTTGATGTTGTCCAGGTATTGCTACATTTGGGACAGACCACTTCAGTATCTGAGGTGTAATAAATGGTGCTGAATATCATGCAATTATCAATGAGCATTCCTACTTCTGCCTTTATGACGGAGGGAAGTCATTTATGAAGCAACTGATAATGAATGTTCCTGGATGACTACCCTGAGTAACTCGTGACACCTGTGCCTGACATGTCTGAATGTCAGTAAACACAACCATCTTCCTTTGTGTTATATGGCTTCAACCAATGGAGTGCTTTTCCTTTGATTCCCATTAAATCCAGTGTCACTTTGTCTCTATGATGGCCCTATGGTGCTGCACTTAGTCAAACAATGTCTTGATGTCAAGCGGAGCCACTGTCACCTCATCTTGCGTGTTCAGCCCTCTTTCCATGATTGGATGAAGGCTGTAATAAGGGTAGGAGCTGAGTGGCCCTAGCAGAACCCAACCGAAGCGTCAGTGAGCAGGATATTCCTATGCAAGTGCTTCTTGATGCCACTGTCGATAACCCTTTCCTTTACTTTGGCTGATGATTGAGGGAAGGACATAAGGACATAAGGACTAGGAGCAGGAGTACGCCATCTGGCCCCTCGAGCCTATCTCGCCATTTAATAAGATCATGGCTGATCTTTTTGAGACTCAGCTCCACTTACCCGCCCACTCACCATAACCCTTAATTCCTTTACTGTTCAAAAATTTGTCTAGCCTTGCCTTAAAAACATTCAGCGAGGTAGCTTCAACTGCTTCACTGGGCAGGGAATTCCACAGATTCACAACCCTTTGGGTGAGGAAGTTCCTCCTGACCTCAGTCCTACATCTGCTTCCCTTTATTTTGAGGCGATGCCCTGTAGTCTTAGTTTCACCTGCTAGCAGAAACAACCTCCCTGCCTCCACCTTATCTGTTCCCTTCATAATCTTATATGTTTCTATAAGATCTCCCCTCATTCTTCTGAACTCCAATGAGTATAATCCCAGTCTACTCAGTCTCTCCTCATAATCCAACCCTCTCAACTCTGGAATCAACCGAGTGAATCTCCTCTGCACCCCCTCCAGTGCTAGTATATCCCTTCTCAAGTAAGGAGACCAAAACTGCACCTAGTACTCCAGGTGTGGCCTCAACAGGACCCTATAAGCTGCAGCATAGCCTCCATGTTTTTAAACCCCATCCCTCTAGCAATGACAGACAAAATTCAATTTGCCTTTTTAATTACCTGCTGCACCTGCAATCCTACTTTTAGTGATTCATTGTATCATTGACAAGATGCACTGCAAAAATACACTGTAAGGACTGCAGATGCTGGAAGCAGAGTCAATAAATGTGGAGTTGGAAGAGCCCAACAGGTCAGACATCATCTGAGGAGCAGGGAAGTCCACGTTTTGGGCTGAAACCCTTCATCTGGTCCTTTTACTGTTCATTGGGATCAGATGTTAATGATTAACATTTATCTGTCAGGTATTTTTTAAACTTTAAACAAGGCAGGCTGATTCTGATTGGTCAAGGCAATGCCCTCACAAGTGAACCAGATGGCTTTCACTTATTTTGCTGTTTTGAGGCAGGAGCAGTTTGAGAACTTGGTGAGAGCCATTTTCTGGTTATTGGCGTAACCTAGAAGGAGCTTCACTTTCTCCTACCTGAACAGTACTCTGATACTGTGCCAAAGTCAGAAATGTTATCAATTGTTCAGCAGTGACATCCTTTACTGAAACACAATTTGCATAAATGGAATTGTTGCCTTTATGTTGAAAACAGAATCGAATTTGCCTGATCATCAGTTTCTGGCAAAATGTTAATGGACTTTCTTCCTCCATATTCATGTCAGCTTATTTCAGCTCTGTCCATCAAGGCATGTGAAATGCTGGTTAGTTGGAAAAGAATGAATGAAGAAAACTTTTGTGTCTGAAGGCTAGACTTGACTGTGTAATTTAGGAAGAATGCAAGGTGTTTTTGTAAGATCTTCACTTCCAGGGAGATTCCAGATGGGTTTAATTTTGTCACTCAGCTGACTGAGTACATTTGCGTGCTAATGGCATGGGTTTTCCCAATAATAATGTATGAAGGGTTTTTCCTTGTCTCTTTCTGAGACTTTTGTGTGGTTTGCAAAAGAAGGGGAAAATAAGTTTCCACTTTTGTTTTAGTTTCAAATTCCACAACAGAGTAAAGGCTCCACTGCTGCCTTGAGGCTTATAAGGCCAGTTTGGTGTGATTTGTCCACATTCAATTTTACCAAATATCCCTTGCATTTATACTGTCAGGACTGTGTGCTGCATATGCATGCTGTTTGTATGCAAAGATTACCATGTGACAGTGTGTCCAGATTAATAACATTATAAATAGATGAGTTGACCATCCACCCAACTTCACTTTACTGCCCTTTCTTTGTATCCCTTGATTCCCTTACATTCCAATGTTCTGTCTGTTGTGAAATACTCAATGATTGAACATCATCCATAAACTTCTGGGGTAGAAAATTTCAGAGATTCACCACCCGCTGGGCAAGAAAGTTCTCCTCATCTCAGTCTTAAATACCCAACTTAGAGAAAAAAATTCTTCACATCTTAGTTTCTCACAGAACACCCTGAATGTGTGGAATTCTGTTCTAGAACATAGAACAGTACAGCACAGTACAGGCCCTTCGGCCCACGATAATGTGCCGAACTTTTACCCTAAACCTAAGGTCTATCTAACCTCCACCGCTACCTTATACTATCATCCATATGCCTATCTAATAGCTGCTTAAATGCCCCTAATGAGGCCGACTCCACTACCGTCTCCGGCAATACATTCCATGCGTTCTCCTAAGGAGTTATGGAGGTGTGATCACTGGAAGTATTTAAATTGGAGGGTAGGTAAATATTTGAAAATTGAAAAGTTGAGAATTATGAGGAGCTGGCATGAAAGAGTTGAAACCTGGGACCAGTCAGCAATTAAAAGTAGATAGGAAGGATATTTTGCAGACTAAAAGAAACGAGAGACTAGGCCAAAGATGTGCAGGCTAGGTGGATTGGCCATGCTAAATTGCCTGTAGTGTTCAGGGATGTGTAGGTGGGTTATAGGGGGATGGGTCTGGGTGGGATGCTCTGAGGGTTGGTGTGGACTTGTGGCTGAAGGGCCTGTTTCCACACTTTAGGGATTCTATGAAATATAGTTTAAAGACCTGACTTCATCCACAGTTGTGTGATTTTCCAGATCTCTGGTCCTAGCCTTATTCAGGTGGAGTCTGTCCCATTAGCCATGATGGTTGAGCAAGCTTAAGAGGTTGAAGTACCTACTCTTGCTCAGTTCATATATTGCTATGATCTTGCAGAATGGTGGGGCAGGCTTGATTGGGGAAAAGTCTTACTTCTGCTCCTATTTCTTATGTTATTATGACTACTATCCATTCCCCCCAAAAAAATCAGGATTCTTCAACTGGGGAAACAGCCAGTCAGCTTTTATTCTGTCAAGGCTTCTCAGAACCTATGTTCTCATAAGCTCAGCTTCCGTTGCACTAAACTCAAAGACCCACTGTACTAAATATCTACTCGTGGGACAGCCTCATCTAGGAATCAATCTGGTGAATCATTCTTGCTTTGTGAGAAGTACTGTCAAATATTTTGGATCACTGATGTTGTGTGACACTAATAGCAAGGATCAAACATCAAACCCATGTTTTCTTTTTCAGTGTGCCGGGAGTTTGCGGTTCGGGAAGATCATAGTCTGGCCCACAATCTTCAGGAGCAGGAAAGTAAGTACCATTAAAGCACTTCACACATCTCAGTGCGGGCTAAGAGGGATGAATCACTTCAATCAAAAATAAATCTATAAATAGCTGGTATCAGTAAACGTGACCATGTAGCTGTTGAATTGTTATAAAAACTGAACTAGTTCAGTAACATCTCCAAGTGGAACAAGATCACCCATTCTCAAATGGTATAGGTTTATAAATGATAGATATTTCCAAATCAGCCTGTTTGGGATGGTGTTACACGCCTTTGGAGCCAGTTAGGCTTGAACCCAGACCTCCTGGCTCAGAGATAAAGACATTATCATTATACCACAAGATCCTTCATTTATAAATGGTACCAGCTGAGCTCGAACTGCTTCCACATATGTTGAATTCCAGATGCTGAATGATAAGCAAGAGTTACTGTTCCTTGTGGTCAGGAGCTCTTGGACCATCTAGCATCCTAATAGCTAACTGAGATCGCATAAGATAGGAGAGGGCCATGTAATCTGTCAAGGCTGTTTGACCATTCGGTGAAGTCACAGCTGATGTTTGACCCAAATCAATGGATGAGCCTTTGTCCCATATCCTGCAATATCTTTGGTCAACAAAAATATTACCATTTCAGATATTGTATTTACAACTGACCCACCATCATAAATGGTTCGTGGAATAAAGTTCTAAACTTCTCCAACACTTGAGAAAGTAAAAATCTTCTAGGTGAAAACCAAATAGTGGTTATGTGAGGAGGTGCACACTTTTAATCCAGAATCCAGACTCGTGTTCTTGGGAATTGGGTTTGAATCATAATTATAGCCATGATGAAATTTGAATTCAATAAATATCAAGCCTAATAGCGACCATGTAACCAGTGCCAATTGTTGTTAAAACTCAGCTGGTTCACTGACGTCCTTTCGGGAAGGCCTGTCTTTACCCTGGCCTATATGTGAATCCAGACCCATAACAGTGTGAGATAACAAGGTGTAGAGCTGGACGAACACAGCAGGCCAAGCAGCAGCATAGGAGCAGGAAGGCTGACGTTTCGGGCCTAGACCCTTCATTAGAAAATGTATAACAGTGTGAGTTGCCCCTTAACTGCCCTCTGTGTAATTGAGGGCTGGCAATAAGTTCAGACCAAGTCAGCCCTGAACAAATAAGAAAACATAGATTCTGTTGCATACAAGAGCTGTACAGAATATTGTTCGAAAGTTTGTATATGAGGAACAGGGTCATTCATACCTTGACATGTCAGCTACTGTTGGGATGAGGCACTCAGCAATTTTTAAGAGAAAAATTTTGCAACACTCATTAAGATCTTTAAGATTGTTAGTGTCAGCGGTTGTTCTAATCTTGATGAACTACATTTTAAAGCCAGTATCTATATTTTCATTAAAGCAACCTCTTTATTTTTTTCCCCTCTGTGCTGCCACTGCTAAAACATTGGCTCATAATGGATACTTTTCTCAGGATTTTAGTTAACTTTGGCAACTCATTCATTGATGAATTGATTTTCATAATTCCGAAGTAGCCTCAACAGACTCTTTAATTGTGTGGTGGCGTTGCAACAAATCAGATTCACATCCATTTATGTAAATACAGTTTCCTGTCTGAATCACAGACAGGTGAAGGAACCATTCTTCCTCTCCCCTACTGAACTCAAGCTTGGTAGATACCGTTGTAATACCTCCATGTAAAATCAAAGAGAAAAGGTTCTGTAAATACTTGGCAGGTCCAGCAGCATCTGTGGGTAGGAACAGAGTTAACACTTCAAGTTGATGACCCTTCATCTAAACCAAATCTATGTTTTGATTGGTTAAGCTTGAGATGAAAGTTGAAGGTCCCTTCTTCTGGTCAGTACAGTACCTCACAGCGTGAACAAGTGGCTCAGTGAGTCTTTGAAGGATACCGTTTTATGTTTCTGCTGTGTTTTTGACTTAAAGTTGCAGCGATTCAGTGCTTTATATCTCAGACCTTCCAAACAGCAGAAACAGCTGCCTTTAGCTCAGCCTGTAATATAACACATTTAGACTTCACCTAACTCAGCTGAGGAATGATGTGGCTGATTCAGAAAATATCAGAACTGCACAGTGAGCAGGTAGTTTTATTTCTGATTCAGAAAACTCCATTCCCACAGCTGCTTGAATGCTGCTCATGCAGGTCTTAATCTGATGAAAGTAGTGTTGCTACACAAGTTATTGACCCCTGCAGAAACAATGTCGTCTCTGTTTAAAAAAAAACATACAAAGTTGTACCTGAGACTCTTGAAATTTCAAGACTGGCAGAAAAACCAAAGGGATAAAAAAGGTGTGGGCTTGTCTTTTAGCTCGTAGATAACCTGGAAGGTTACTGCCCAATTGCCAGAATATGGAACAGTGCACAGCAAGCAATTCCTTCACTGCAAGAAAGGTTAGCTCTTTCTAGGACCATGTCAGAGGTTGCTGAGTTCTGATTTACAATTAATTCTGTACAGCTTTGTTAATGCGGTGGGTAAAACATCCAGCTTTAGATCTATTTCTGGCCTTGGCTTGACATGACGTTTCAGAGTTGAATTTCACTAAAAACGGAACAAAATTTCCCCTCCACAGCACTGACTGTTCGTCTGTGAGGTGAACAGTATCAACCTGAAAGTCAGGACATGAAGGTAATAATTGGAGCAAAGTTTCACACTTAATGAGTATTTGTTTACATTGACACACCGTACAAATATTCACCCTAAACCACCAACAGCAGTTTTAGTCTGTTTCTAAGAGCACAAGTGAATCTCCAGTTAAAACTCATAACCTACACGCAGATATAATATACAAGGAGCAGATTGGTCCCACTTCAGCATTCATTGTTGAAGCTGGAGGATTTGATAAAGAATCAAACAGACCGGTGATAACATAGTGTGGAGCTGGAGGAACACAGCAGGCCAGGCAGCATCAGAGGAGCAGGAAAGCTGACGTTTCAGGTTAGGACCATTCTTCATTTTGTGAAGAAAGGTCCCGACCCAAAACGTCAGCTTTCCTGCTCCTCTGCTGCTGCCTGGCCGGCTGTGTTCCTCAGGCTCCACACTGTGTTATCACCGACTCCAGCATCGGCAGTTCTTACTATCTCAAACAGACCAGTGAGTTTGCAATGTCTTGAAATAATGTAGTATTTTGTAATTTGACTTGTTGTAACGTGTGGACTGCTTAAATGTTACAGAAGAACAGTTAAACTACTCTACTGAGAAGTTGCTTCAATTGTGCTGCTTTCTGGATTCTAGTGTCTACAAAAAGCAGTGTACATTGGAAGAGGATTAATAAATATTAAACACCCTTGGGTGGCTGTAGTTTAATTATCTTGGCAGAAGTGCCGGGAAATTTTGTGTTGGGTGTTATTTCATAAGTGAGGCCTTCAAAACTGAAGGCTCACATGGAGAGAGGACAAAATAAAGAACAAAACTTGGAAGCACCTATTTAAAGTTTACCACCTGGAAAAACAGTTATATCCTGAAGGTTGGGATTAGTGACTGAGGGACAAGTAACTGGGGTTGTGTGAGATCTAATCTTGAGCTTGACCGTGAGCTTTGTATTTCCTTCTCTAATCATATATATTTTTATTTCTCAACAGTAATTATTTTTAATGTAAAAAGTTTTGCACATGGTGACCTTCTGTCCCAGTTTTGTGTAAAAGGAATAAACTTCTAATTATCTGTCTCTTTAATTTTCCCTCCTTCCTCACCCTCTTTTGAATGTACTCCTCTGTGCCTTTAATGACGTTCCCTCCGCCACTTAGGACTTGTAGCCAGTATGAAACTTTGTTGCAATGACACACAAATTATTAAAGAACTGTGAGAAGAACAACTTTTTAATATAATTATGACAACTGTAACTGGGGTCTTATGTTAACCACTTCTGTATCTAAACTCCTGTCTTGAGTTGAGTTTTGATCATCCATGTGACCTCACACCCTTGTTTCCTGCATTCATGCTTAAACTTTTATATAAATTTGTTGCTAATGAATGCATAAACATCTTTGCTGCCTAATTAAAGCTAAACATCCTGTATTTAAATGTTGGAAGTGGTGCAGGGGTAAAGGTGAGCTCTAGTGGCCGAGAAAAGAACTGGAATTAATGACTGGTACTTCTGGCATTTATTGCCTACCACGAGAAAATGGTATGGGAGTTCTTGAATAAGTGATGCTGCTGAAGTGACACACTCAGTTGCAAGTTAAGAGTAACATCTCAGACTGGATCTGGAGTCACACAGCCGCCCAGCTAGGTAAGAATGGCAGGTGCCTTTTGCTAAAGAACATCAGTGAACCAGTTGAGTTTTTACAATTTTTCCGTGGCCTTGTCGTAACTTCTGGCAATGGCCTTTGTTTCCAGATATTCTTTAATTGAACTGAATTTCTGAAATTTATCAAAATGGGATTTGATTTTCAAACTCTGGATTATTAATCGAGACCTCTGAATTATAAGTCCAGTAACATATCTATTTTCCTGTTATACCCAATAGCCACATGGAAGTCTCTTTGATGTTGAAAGGAAATTACTGAAAGGAAGATTTGTATGTTGTGCATAGAGGACAAGTCCAGACCATTGTTTCTGTTTTTGTTCCTTATTCATTCACAGGATGAGGGAGTTGCTGGCTAGGCCAGCATATGTTGCCCATCCTTCACTGTGGCCCCATGGAGCTGGCCTTCTGATGCTGCAGTACCCCTGTGTAGCTGGCACTCCCTTAGAGCTGAATCTCTGTGTGGTGTCCCCCTGCAGGCTGTGGCATCCTGTGAATCTGTTACACCTCTGGTGCTGGCATTCCTGGTGCAGTGCCCCCACAAATATTGCATTGTATATACACATGTTGTATCAGAGCGCAGTGCATGTGTAACTAATTTTCTGCCATTCTCTTCTAGTTGAGCATCATTTGGCTTCCAATGTACAAAGAAACCGTTTGGTACAGAATGACCTGCAAATGGCCAAGAAGCTGCAAGAGGAGGAGAATAAGAAAGCCCAAATCCGTCTTCAGAAACAGCAGCGAGAGATGTAGGCACTGGAATTTACTTAAATTATAAAATCTGGCTGAACGGTAAAGGCAGAACCAACTCTGATCGACGAAATTGGGAGAGTGAGAATGAGAGGAATCAAATGGGCTGAGGAATACAAGTTTTCATCTTGAACATCTGTTGATTGTCAGAGGGGCAATTAATGAGAGAGGCAGTACCCTTCTGCCTCCTTAACCATCCCTGTCTTTCTCTCTTCTGTATATCTGCTCCAGATTCCCTACTTCCTGATGTGGATTAAGGAGCTTGTAGGAACATTCTGGGCAGTAAAGACTAATCAAGTCGATATTTACATTCTTATTCCGAATATTTGCAGGAACCCAAATGGTGCGGGGCAACTGTACTAGCATGCTAGTGCATTTTATGGAGGGAGGTGAATTTCTTTCAGCTTGGGTATTTTGTTAGGACAGTGTTCATACAGGGAGGAGTATATATTTTTTAAACTTACCCTGGATTGGGTTTAAAAGAAAAGGTAATTGTTGCTGTTTGAGTGGATCAGCTCTAATCTGAAGCATTGAGTTTAGTTGTAGCTGCAATCACAGGAAGTTTTTTTTAATATTTGTTCTTGGAATATGTTCAGTCCTGGAAGGCAGGCATCTATAGTACTTTCTTATATGACCTCAAGAAAGTGAAAGGTTCACACCTCATGGGCCAAGTATGTCCCTGATTGCCCAGAGGACAGTTAAGATTCAACCACATTTGTGTCTGCAATTGCCTGTAGGCCAAACTCAGCAGGGAAGGCAGATTTCCTTCCCTAAAGGACATTAATGAACTATTTGGGGTTTTTACAACAAGGTAAAAGGTTTTTCCCAGGGTAGGGAAGCCAAAAACTAGAGGGCATAGGTTTAAGGTGGGAGGGGAAAGATTTTAAAAGGAACCCAAGGGGCAATGTTTTCACACAGAGGGTGGTGTATGTATGGAATGAGCTGCCAGAGGAAGTGGTGGAGGCTGATACAATTACAACATTTAAAAGGCATCTGGATGGCTACATGAATAGGAAGAGTTTAGAGGAATACAGACCAAATGCTGGCAAATGGGACTAGATTAATTTAGGATATCCGGTCAGCATGGATGAGTTGGATGGAAGCACCTGTTTCCGTGCTGTACAACTCTGACTCTATAATCAACAGTGGTTGCAAGTTCACTATGAGGTTAACTGTTTGTTCCAAATATTTATTGAAATCAAATTTCAGTATCTGTCTTGATGGGATTCAAATCCATATCCTTGAAATGTTAGCCTAGGGTTCGGGATTACTAGTCCAATGACATTGCAGCTACTCCATGCCTCATCGGCAGTGATGTTGGTGATCAAGCCATAGAACAAAATGACAAGGTAAGGGCATAGAAACTGACCTATAAATAGAGTTGGGGAAGGAATATTGGTTCTGGGTCTAATTACCCTTTCCATTCCTCTCTGCTGGTATCTTGTTCAAAACAAAGTTAACAGAAGTGCTGTTTTATTTTAGATTGTATCTGGCTGATGCACAGGATAACCAGTTATAATTGTGTTAATTCATAAATCAAGGGCTGGAATAGGCTTTCTGCAAAGGGGCATTGAGAGTTAAGGAGATATGAGAAAGGCTGTTTCATCAACCTTGTTGTGTATCAAACAACCTTTTCCAACGTGTTTTGTTGGGTTCCCTATGGGGAAAAGAGAACTTTTGAAAAGGTCTGATCTCCATCAAAATTCCCAATTTGTTCTGGCATTCTTCTTTCTCATATTCTGGTGGCATTTGCCCTGGAGTGTCATTATGTCATTATGTACTGAGTTTTGATTCAATGTTTCATGCTCAGCTGACGCGTGCTTCTAATTACAGGGAACGTTGGGACAATCAGATGGCTCAAGTGATTCAGGATGAGCTGACACTGGAAAGTGAGAAAAGGCGACGCCAGGAGGAGAAGGATGAGGTAGGAATCCGTGGGGTGACAGTAAATTTCCATGCCCCAGAGTTCTGCCTGAACAGTGCGATGGGATGGAAGCAAAATTGTAATGCAATAGAATGAGGGGACTGAAAAAATGTCTGAACTAACAGAAAACTGCACACTGAGTGAAGTCTTCTAGTTTAAAATCTGCTAAACATAATGCTGTTTTTGCTTTTCATATGATTAAATGTTATTGCAGTTTGCATTTCCAGATTGAAATGCCAGCGTGTAATTGATTTTAGTATGTGGTTGTAAATATCGCAAGGATTTAGAAGAGCAGACCTGTTGAGGTGATTTATGGATCTAATCCACATCATATTTTGCTGTTCATATATCAGGCATATCCATCCTTTATATTGCATGCTGTAACCTACTTCAATGTGCTGAAATTGTTGGGTATAAATGAATGCACTTTAAGTAATTGTCTTGTGCACACAACCACAATTAATGAGGCAATCTGTCAGACTATCCTTTCACTTACCTATTTTACTCACTGTATCTAGTTTTTCGTCTCTACTCTTTACCCATCTCCTGAAGGTGCTAACGGGACTGATCCCAAAGCAGGTAGACTAAACATGATTAGGACCACAACATAAGAAGTAGGGGCAGGAATAGATGATTTGGTTCTTCTAATCTGCTGCTCCAGTCCATAAAATCATGGCTGATCTGATTGTGGCCCCAACTCCTTGCCTGCCTGCTCCCCCTAATAGATAACAAAATCTTTCAGCCATGGGTATGTTCAATGACCTGGCCTCCACTGCTCGTTGGGGAGAGGATTTCACCAATGAATGACTCTGTGAGAGAAAAATTCTTATTTCTGTCTAAATTAGCAAGACCTTGTTTTTAAACTGTGCCCCATTTCTAGGCCACTGCCAATCCACCCACAAGGGTAAATATCTTCTCAGTATATACCCTGTCAAGTCCCTTCATGATCTAGTATATTTCAAAAAGTTCATGATGAAGGACAGATGCTAGCATGAATCACTAAGGCAGATTGGCCTGATTTGGTGATAATACCATAATACAAAGGAGCAGAAGTACACCATTCAGTCCATCAAGTCTGTTCTGTCATTCAGTGAGATTGTGGATGCTCTGATAATCCACAACTCGATTTTTCTGCCTTTTCCCCATAACCCTGAGTTACTTAATGATTAAAACTCTCTCTGTCTGTCTCAGCCTTGAAAATGCTTGACAATCTAACCTCAACAGCCCTTTATGGTAAAGAATTCCAAAGAAGAAATTACTCTTCATCTTTGGCCTAACTGGATGAAAGCTTGTGCTGAAATTACGCTGTCTGATTTTCTCCCACAAGAGGAAACTACCTTTTCTGCCCCTGACGAATCTTACATCTTTTAAGAAAGGCATCTCTCATTCTTTTAAACTTCAATAAGTATAGATGCAGCTTACCAAACCTCTCCTCATAAGAAAATTTCTGGGATCAACCTAGTGAACCTAATCCTGATTCCCTCCAATGCCAGTTTATTTCTCCATAGGGAAGGGGTTCAAAATTGTTCATGGTTTTCCAGCTGTAGTCTGACTAGTGCTCTATAAAGTTTTAGTAAGACTTCCCTACTTTTATATCCCATTCCCTTTGAAATAAAGGCCAACATTCAATTTACATTCCCAACTACAAATAAAATTTGTATGCTAGAATTTTATGGTTTCTGCATGAAGACGCCCAAATGCCTCTGGGCCACAGTTTTTTTGCAGTCCTTCCCCTCCACTTAAATAATATTTAGCTGTTCTATCCTTCTTTCCAAGGTGCATATCCTCAAATTTTTCCATATTATATTCCATCTTCCAAGATTTTGCTGACTCACTTCACCTGTCTGTTTGCCATGAGAGATTCTTTGTGTCATTCTCACCACTTAGCTATTTTTGTGCCATCTGCCAGCTTAGCTGCAGTACATTCACTTCCCTCATTCATGTCATTCATCTATATTATCAATCATTGTGAACCCAACAGTACCCTGTGGCACTCCACTCGTTACAGGTTACCATTCTGAAAATGCCCCATCCACCCCCCCCCCCAATAAATTCTAACATTTTCCAATAATAGATATTAAGCTAGCTGCCCTATGATTAACTGTTTTCCTTCCTTTCTGAGTAAGAGTGTTACATTGACAGTTTTCCAATCTCCTGAGACTTTTCTGCAATCAAAGGATACTTGGAAAATTAGTTCTAGTTTATCCACTATCTCTGTAGGTATTTTTAATACCCTAGGATGTGTCCCATCATTTCCAGGGGACTTTTCATCATTTAGCCCCATTTGTTGTCCTATTACTGTAGTGATTATTATTGCATTTATTTCCCTCACCCTTTTTCACCTTGTTTGTTTAATATTTTTGGAATGCACTTAGTGTCTTCTACAATGAAGACTGATGTAAAGTATTTATTCAACTCCTTTGCCATTTCCTATTCCTCATTGTGATGTGACTTTGGTTGATTTTTATATATTAAGTTTTCCAGTACTTCATCCAAGTGGCTGTTTATGTTGAAACCCTGCCCATTGAGTGTCAGCTTCAATTGTAGAGAGCCTGGTCTTGTTTCTTGTCCAATATCCACTTGCACCTTCAGCAAGATTTGTTGCTTAGTAACTGGCAGTAGTAAAGCATTCTCTAGTTTACCTGCCACTAATTCAGGGAGCTGTGGCCAATGGTACTACTGCTGCCATTTTTGGATTAACCTGAGCTCATCCGGTTTTACACTGCCCAGTAACTGAGAAATACACTTTACAGCTAAACCACCAGGAACTGATTTCAATTCTCCCATCTGTCTACGAAAACAGTTAAATTTTTTATGATCAGTGCCATAAAATCTCAGAACACAGAAGGAAGCTGTTTGGGCCAAATGTCCAAAGTGCAAAAAGTGCTGACTCCAATTACTTCAACAATACTTGTCTTTTCTCATAGCCCTACCAATTAATTTTGAAGTCTGTACCCAGTAACTGGAATTTTCATTGTTTTGTTTTGAGCACACCTGAAGTTGTCACTTGACCTCACATTCATTCAGTGGCAGTAAATGTGTTTTTGGAGATGTGGGTGTGACTGGCTAGGCCAGCATTTGTTTTCCATTCCCAGTTGCCCTGGGGAGCATGGTGGTGAGCTGCCGAACTGAACTGCTGCAGTTCTTGAAGCACAAGCACACCCACAGTGCTGTAAAGAAGGGAGTTCCAGAATTTTCACCCAGAGACAATTAAAGATCAGTGATACAGTTCCAAAAAATGGATAGTGTCTGACTTGGGGAGGAGCTTGCAGGTAGTGGTTTTCCCTTACATCTGCTGGCTTTATCCTTCTAGGTGGCAGAAGTCACTGCTTTGGTAGGTACTATTGAATGAGCCTTGGTGAGTTGCTGCTGTGCGTCTTTAATAGAAAACACACTATTGCTACTATGTGTCAGTGGAGAAGAGGATGAATATTTAATATGGTGGATGGGATGTCAATCGAATGGGTTGCTTTGTCTTCTTTGGTGTTGAGCTTCTTAAATGTTTTGGAGCTGCACCCACCCAGGCAAGTGGAAAGTATTGTGAAGATGGCATCTTTGTATTTTTCTTTATTTTGGATTTTGGAGCAAAATGGGAAAAGGATGTCACATTTGTAAGGAAAAGTTAGTGGAATGTATTGAGTTGTATTTATTCAAGCAGTGGTAAATGATGTCTAAGGTACCACATCATCAGGTGTGTGTTTGCAGAGCAAGCTTCGCCTCGAGGTGGATTACGAATTGAGTTGAGCAGTCCGGATCTGGTGTGGAGGCCAGGATTCATCAGGACATTAGCACTCTGTTTCTAGGCAGGTGAACAGAGTGAATAATACAGGGGCAGGAGCCTTCAGACTGCAGCAGAGAAAATCTTCTTCCAAAATAACCAAAGCCTGAAAGATGGCTTGCTATCCTTGGCCACCAGTTGGCATTTGATCAGCGACTGGTGGATTGTGCAATTAGTGTGCCAACCACCCTGTGTATTCTGCAAAGAACTCAGTGAATCTGCAAAAGAGGAGATCATAGAATCAGGCAGTACAGAAGAGGCTCTTTGGCCCAATGATTCTGTACTGCCAAGACTGGGGAACAGGATTTCTTGGAAGAAGTGAAAGGGGACAGCACTTCAAAACCTTTGACAAGTGCTGTTGAATTTGCTCAGTATTTGTTCTCCACCATAACAATCATGTTTGTTTGCTGTGTGTGTAGGAGTTTATGAAGTTGGTGTTAGAATTTCAGCTAGTAGAGTTATATGTTAAAACTTAATATTTTTGCTTGCCTGTAGTTAAAATCAATTCATTTGTAATAAATTGTAGTTTGTATTAAGTACAGACATGTGACCAGTGTTTTCACTGTCCATCAGGGAGGTAATTTAGGACTGAGATAATGTGACTAAATCTTTAAATTCTGTGACAACCCTGTGAGTAGTGGGGCTTGAGTTTCAACAGACTTTCCCAAGTGGGTCGAACAGTATTCCATCACGCACCTGACTTGTAGATGGCTGATAAGGATTGGGGAGTCGAGAGGTGAGTTACTTGCTGCAAGATCCCTCGGCCCTTACGTGCTCTTGTAGCAACCATATTTATATGGCTGGTCCAGTTAATCTAGGAATCCCCTAAGGATGTTGACAGTGTGTGATTCAGCGGTAGTAATACCATTGAATGTCAAGTGGTGATGGTTGGAGTCTCTCCTTCCAATTGTTGTCAAGGGATTTCGATATCAATGCAGAATCGTCCTTTGCGTCAGTGTTGAAAATTGAGCTGATATCTGATAAAGCTGGGAGCTGAGGAAAATAATTGTTCATTATAAGAGCTGTGTGATACTCCAGCTCTTTCATTCCCAGAGTGAGGAATTATTTACTCCTTTCTGCAATGATTGCATTTCAAAGTCCATGTTTGGTTTCAGTCCATCACTAAATCCCAATTCATCCTGCTACATCTTTGGTTTATTCTGTGGCCTCACCAGGGCCCTGTATGAGCTTCAGTTAATTCCCATGAAACCACTCCTCATGCAATAGAGCATTGGATTTTTTTGGCAAGAGATTCATTTGTTGAATTAAGCATGTGTCCACAGGCATTTAACTTCAGAAATAAGATCGGGTCATCTCTGTCTTAAAAAAGAAATCAAGAGTTCAACAAATCCCAGCCCCCTTTACATCTCCCCGATCCCAAAATCCTTAATTTCAGTATCTACTCTACCTTCCTTTCACCGCCCAGGCAGTTGCTTTAGTTCCTGACCTTATTTGTTGATCAGGTCTTAGCTGCATCCCCTCCAGAAACCACTTAATTGCCTGTTGAAGCCATTTACTTCGAGTTAAGTGGTTAGTTATTCTTCATTCTGAGTTTCGAACTAACATCCTTTCCTCTTCCTGAATTGCTCCTTGAACAAGCCAATCAATAGTTTGGAAGATCCTTCTCTTCATTCTCAATGCTGGCTGGAATTATCTCTGCCAGGACTGATAGTTGTAACATTTACACATGGTGTCAACTAATTAGACCTGACTTTGAAAGGAGTATGCTTTACAGAGAACAATGCAATGTTCAGTGCAGCATTACTGCACTTGTAAGTATTGGATCAGATTTGGCTGCTTCTAGATTATGGACATCTGAGTAAAGATTTACCAGTTATAATGAGGCCGGGGCACTGTGTGGGGTGCCTGTCCCAATCAGAAGTAGTGTGATGCTACCCTGTACTGTTGGTCCAGGATCTGGTTTTGTGACTGACTGGCTTCTAGAGGGATTAATGAACAGAGGTTATTTCCAAAATTGTCATTCTCTGGAATTGCCCTCTGCTTCTCGATAGTTGAACAAAAAGTTTACCTCCTGCTGAAAAATTTCAAAATTGACATGGCATCGGTACTGTTTTCAAAATTTATTGCCTCTTACCTATCCTGGGCACCCCTTTCACCCCCTCCAGCAACCTCTCCCACATTGCATTGTGGTTCCTTGCAGAACTCCTGTTACTCTAACACAATATGGGAATTTAAAGAGGGATATGATTTGTCTGCTCAGTCAACATGTGGGGAGTGCTGGAGAACTACTTCAAGTAGTGAGAAAGAAAGGATGCTGCAGGCATTTTCCATTTCTGTGCTGACTTCTTGAAATGAGGTCAGTACAACATTGTGAAGTTTGCAGCCTGTAAACTACAAATATCCAAAGAAACACTGCTACAGACCTTGTTTGCAGCTCTGCAAGCCATTAATAAAACAAAAGTCCAAACATGTATTTTCCATCCTATTTTGTAAATATTCAAGTGTTACTTTAATGCTAAGTTACATAGTAATGTGTTGCAAGAACATTGGGAATGATGGTTTATTTTTAGTCATTGATACTGCAAGTGTTGGAAGAAAAGTTGTGAGCAGCCTGGATGGCAGAAAATCAAGGATATAATTAGTTTTGGGGAGTTTAACATGTCTCCAGTGATGTGATGTGATGTAATCACTTTGTAAAGTGATTTTGTTGCTTCTATATTCATTAAGTCTACGTGTGACACAAATGCTGGGGGATAATTTGACAACCGTCCTGCTTTACAAATAAGCTTCATCAGCTGCAACAGTCAGGGAGATGATACCAATCTTATTGACTGACTTGAATGTTCTCCCGAGTGTCCTGATGCTGCTGATTCGTGTTATGTTTGTGCCTACAGATCCCACCTGCCTTCAAGCACCTTCCTCCAAGGATAGGATTGTTCAAACATGAAAAATTTCACTGCTGAGCTTAATCTTATCCAAAATTAACACACAATTTTTCTTCCTGCTTGACTTGTGGATATTGCTTGTTCATCTGTTTTGTTCATTCATTTTTAAACCTGTGCAAAGGAGTCAAGGGTTATGGGAAAAGGCAGGAAGATGGATTTGAGGATCATCAGATTATGACAATCTTGTTGAATGGCAGTGCAGACCCAATAGGCTGAATGGCCTGCGTTTGTTCCTATGTCTTAAGGTCAGATTGTGCAGCTCAGCACCAAATCAAGTAATGCATTAATGCATTGGCCTTCTTTGCTGGGCTATCGTTGCTTTTAAGTTGGGCACCTTCAGCTTCTTGTTGAAGTGGCAGTGCTTGTGTTTAACTCTCTTTGACCAGGCTACTTGTGAGTGAGGGCCAGATCAGATGTGTGTCCACATGTACACATACTAATGGTTTGCTGGGCGGTTATTAGGGAGGGACTGCTTTGTAGTGCAGTCACCAAGGCCATTGCTAAATTAGCTTACGTATTTAGGCTACGTGGACTGGTTATAGGATCAAGTCTTTCCTGATTTGCACAGGATGTATGTGGGCTGGGAGGGTGGAAACAAACATTTTCTGTTTTGTATAATAATACTTCTCTGATGTTGAACGTACTTTCAAGTATCTCTATCTAAATTTCTTTTCATAGGCTATTGCTCGTAAACTCCAGGAGAAGGAGGAAAAGTTGAGACGGAAATATCAACACGAAAACATAGGCCGCGAACCATTTAATGTTGGCTTCGAAGAAAATGGAGGTAATACGTCAAAACACATTCTGCTGATTCATTTAAAAAAGAATGACGTGCAGTGCCATTGTGGGTACAACACTGTGAAAAGGACTGTTAATTCAACCAAATGGAACATTGTCAACTTGCTGAATTGGAGCTTCCTGTGCATTCAGCTACAGGATCTGCTGTGTCAATGCAGGATTTTGGATTGTTCTCTGAAAGAACTGAATAAAAAGGGAACAGCTGTTACCCGTTTACAAGTGGCTTCCACAGGACGGAGTATTAGCTGGATGAGTTCAAATAATAATATCTTGTGGTCCCTTTGTGGGCATTGTCATGGAAAGCAGCAGCTCTTGGGCTTGTTCAGAGTAATATGGTAGTCACCCTGCGGTTGAATGGCTATTCGGTCAGTGCATTCACTAGTTGATGGTTGTTGTTGTGGTGGTGGTGGTATATGCTTGTGCTCGGTGATGGGTCCGTGGTGGAGATCAGTGAATGATTGAGAATATTACGTCTGCTTAGTTCAGCATTTACTACAAAGATCAGAAGCTTCCTGAAAAAGCTTAACATTGCAATTTTTCTGCTCAATCGGCAGCACTGATCACTGTTCATGATTTGCTGTTTCTATCCTGCTTGTGTCTTTCTATCATGTTGAATGTTACTTCATGTGTGATTTTTGTTCATCCTGTATTATGTTATACTTTGATCCTATAGCCCCTGCTCATGACCCCATTATCTCCCCCATACGCAGCTGAAGTTTCTCAATTATCTGCCAGTGCACTGGTAAACCTGATTCAGTTGCACAATTATTCATTCAGCTTCTACTACACCCCCACCAATATGCAAAAGCACTGTCCGGGTCAGACAGTGCGGTAATTTTTCTTCAGTTGAATTAGCTGCTAAGGGCCAGGCCTGGATACTTGACCCTAGTGCTAAGGAGTTGCAAATCAAACGCATTATCGTTTATCTGATGACCTGCAGGATCTCCTTCCACTTGATTCAGTTATTCTCATTTGTGTGTTCCGATAAATGACTAATGAAGAATAATTATCTCCCAAATGGAGGGTTTGAATATAAAGGAAAAGCTAGGTCAAAGGCTAGGAATTTTGCAGCAACTAACTCCCTTTCTAACACCCAGCACTTGTCCACTGTCTATAAGGCACAAGTCAGGTGTGTGATGGAATGCGCCCCACTTGACTGGATGAATTCAACTCTGACAACACTTTAGAAACTGAACACCACTCAGGATAAAGCATCCTGCTTCATTGTCATCCAACCTACCACCTTCAACGTTTAGTCTCTCTGCCACCAACGTGTAGTGAGAGCAGTCTCTACTGCAAAAACTTGCCAAGCTTCTTCTGACAGCAGCTTCCTAGAAAGGCAAGAGCAGCAGATGCATTGGCTCACCAACACCTGTAGATGACTGAGTTAGAGCAATTTTGCCATTCTTTCACTGTCACTGGATTAAAATCTTGGAATGCCATTTCAAACATTATTTTGCATGTCCTCACGTCCTAGGGACAGCACTGGTTCTAAAAGGAGCTCATCACCACTTTCTTTAGGGTAATGAATGTTGGCCTAGCCAGTGGCACCAACATTGAATGAACAAGTTAAAACAAAAACTTCAACTATGCACCTTAGACAACCAGAGACTTCTTCCTAGGGTGGAGGTAGCTATTACAAGGGGGCTTAGTTTTAAAGTGAGTGGAGATAGATATAGGGAGACGTCAGAGGTAGGTTCTTTACTCAGAGTGGTAGGGGCGTGGAATGCATTGTCAGAGAGGGTAGTGGAGTCGGCCTCATTAGGGGCATTTAAGTGGCTATAGATAGGCAATGGATGATAGTATAAGGTAGCGGTGGAGGTTAGATAGACATTAGGTTTAGGGTAAAAGTTCGGTACAACATCGTGGGCTGAAGGGCCTGTACTGTGCTGTACTGTTCTATGTTCTATTACTGGCTAGTCCACATCTGGGGCACTGTGTTCAGTTCTGGACTCTATACTTTCAGGTGATGTGTTGTCCTTGGAAGAGGAGTTAGGGTTAAGGTAATGCACCAGAATGTTACTAAGACTCCAAGATTAGATTGTGAGGTGATATTTACATAAACACCGCATGTGTTCCCTGGAATATAGCAGATTAAATGATGTTATGTTTGAAGTTATACTATTTTGAAAGTAACTGGTATGGTAGATTAGAAGCTCTTTATCTACTGATGGGGGAGGCTATGACAATAGAACCTAAATGTAAAATCAGTGCCAGGCGGCGCAATAAAAAAAAAATTAGGGAAACACATCACACCAAGCATGGTATATGTGGAACATTCTCCTGCAGAAAACAATGGATGTAATAGTTTTAATCAGCAATCAAAACCTTTTTGCTACCCAAGAATATTAACAGATATTGAGCTAAGACAGATGGATGAAATTAGGATACATATCAACCATGATCCCATAGAAAGGTGGAACAAGGTGTTGAGAAGCTGAATGGCTGTATCCTCGTCCTATGTTCCTTCTCTTAATTAATTGCATAGTTTGAATTACTATTGTACTTTTCTTTATATAGGTTTAAGCTTAGTCCAGTTTTGGAATCAGTTAACCAACCCAGTTTGGTTACTCCATCTGACTTAGCTGCCTATTACATGTGATTTAAAGCTTTCATGTATATCTGCTTGTTGATCCATCTGCATGTTGCTTTATTAATTCTGCATGTTTCTATGTTCAATGTGGGACTCATTTCACTTAGCTATTAGTGCAGTGCTGTACATGGCCAATACGTTTCTGGAATTAACACCAAGTTTGGGTGGGGAATGAAAAGTGGGCATTTTTAATGGCATACTGACATTCACCACATGGCTTTTCTGTGAGCATGTCCTTTAGTTTGTGTTTTAACATTTTTGGTTTCTCTGTTCAAGTTTCACCCTTGTTTTTTTGTCTAACATTTGCTAACAAGTTTTCGTATCCTATTGTGTCCATGTGTAACTCAGATCACATGAAAAGCAGAGTGCGCAAGCATGATAGAAACAGCAGGCATGGAAGTGATTCTCATAGAAATAGAGATTTCAGGTACAAAAGAGACAGTCACCTGAAGTCACCAGTAGAATCAAGCTCAAAATCTCAAGTTGATGACTGGGTCATGGAGCCAACAACGCAAAGCCCCAACGAGAAGTCCCATTGTTCAGAAACTGCGTGGAATGATGATTATCCGGATGTTGGCCCTCGAAAGCTTGAGAACTGTCCTGGCAAGAAGAAGGCACCAAGGAGACCACCGCCCCCTGTCCTGAACTCATCCCATGAGGCAGCTTCAAACTACTATAGTCAGGGTGCACGGCCAAAGGTCTTTGCAGTTCGGGATGAATACTGTGACTTGCGTGAACGTAATGCTTGCTGCCAGAAGGCCACTGATAAAGCTCCTCACGACTGCAGCCCTGAGACTGTTGGGGCTTGTGCCCCTAGTCCTGAGGAGCTCCTGGAAAGAGAACACAAAATGGGTGAAGACAACGAGATGTCGATGAAGGAAAGGCGACGAGCAGCACGTTCACAATCACCTGACCTTCAGGCAGAAAGCAATCACTACAACCAGGAAAGAGGTAGCAACTTTTGTTTGTGTTTACATTTTCATTTAGAGTGCGTAACATTCCTTTTGGTTATCTCAGTCTTGTGCTTGAAAATAAACAGAGCAAATTTGATGAAGGAAAGAGGCTTCCTTGAAATGCAGCCTGTGATTGGGCACCCAGCTTTTCTGCACATATGGCAAAGTTAAATTATTCGCGATACAATTATGGCAATGCTGTATTAAGGTTTGTCTCTGGGACCTTTTAGCAGAGACCTTTTTGTTTTTGGAGAAAAAGGTGAATTAGCTAGAAATCCAGTTAAGTACCTAGAGCAATAGCATGAAAATTGTCACTCTGATTCATGACATTGAACTCAATCAACAATGTTCTCTTTAAATTGCTCCAATACATGACAATGTAGCAGCCCAGGTGTGATGTACAAAGCAACAGTGCAGATAGAGGCTGTTTGGCCCATCGAGTCTGCAGCGACCCTCAGAAGAGCGTCCCATCCAGATCAACCCTATGCTTGCATTTACTATGGCGAACCCACATAGCCTGCACATCCCTGGACACTATGTGCAATTTAGCATGGCCAATCCACCTAATCTACACATCTTTGAACTGTGGGAGGAAACTGGAGCACCTGGCGGAAACTCACACAGACATAGGGAGAATGTGCAAACTCCACATGTATGGATGCCCAAGGCTGGAATCAAATCCAGTGCAATGAGGCAGTAGATGCAAAGGGGGAGTAATTTGGACTGGTGTGTGGAAGGAGCTATAAGTCTGAATTGTTAACAAACTCTATCCACAAAGTAAGGTGTCTTAATTTTGGACTTACCAACCAGCTTGGATCCAGATTTATGTTGGTAGTAGAGCAAGTTGCAAAGGCAAAGGTTGGAAACTAAGTCAAATACCGAGAATGCTCCAGAAACTCAGCAGGCCTGGCAGCATCTGCAGAGAGAGAAATAGAGCTAGTGTTTCAGGCATGGTATGACCACTATTGGATATGAAATGTACAAAGGGAAAAGATGTAATTACCTTAAAATGAGATGAGCAGTTTGCTCATTCATCTCGCAGGTTAAAATTCCTTCTAAAGGATGCAGGAATAAGGCATAATGAGTACACTAAACTTATAGGAGAGATCAGTGATAAATGTCATTAATGTGATATATGTAAAACATATAGAACACTACCACGGCCCATAGTGAATCTCCTTTCAGTGGAAACTTTAAGAAAGTTGTACCAAGGAACTCAAAGTTATTGGATGAGGAAAACGTCATTCTTATCCTTTGTAGACATGGCACTCATAGGAAAATCCCTCCATCCTAGAAATGAGCTTGGTGAGCATCTGTCATCTTCTCGCATGACAAGACCAAAAAATGCGCACAATATGCCAGGTGTGGTCTCGGAGGGCTCTACATAATTGCAATAAAACATCATTACTTCGATACTCAAATCATCTTGTAATAAGAGCC